ACAATTGTACAAAAGAAGATGAAACTAAATTAGAAAATATCAATTTGGACGCAATTCGCACTATAACAGGTCTTGTTCGGTGAACTTCCCACTCAGTTTTATACAAAGAGTCCGGCTTCTCAAGTTTAACCGATCGTCGCTTTTGTCACAAAGTAACTCTATTTTATAAAATGATTAATGGTTTAACACCTCAATATCTGAGAATTCTGGTACCACCTCATATTTCGATTGTAAACCCTTACCCCATCAGAAGCAAGCACAATTTTCGCACTATTCCATGGAACACTGTAGCTTACAAATCATCTTTTCTCCCATCTACTGTACAAATCTGGAACAATCTGCCCGACTCAATACGTAATTCTTCTTCCCTCTCTCAGCTTAAATCCCTGCTTGTAAAATTCACCTCAAAATCCTCTGTACAATTATATTTCTACTCTGGCGACCGTCCATCACAAATAATACAAACCAAACTACGTCATTACAAAAGTCAACTAAACGCTCACAAATTCTTAATGCACATATCCGACAATCCATCCTGTTCATGCGGCCACACCTTTGAAAATTCTGAACACTTTCTTCTCTACTGTCGCAACTTTTCAAAACAACGAAACAATACAATTAATCTTCTCCCTATTCATTTACGTTGCATATTAACACTTGTTAACGGCAATCCAAAATTATCTTTAGAAACAAATCTGTATATCTTTCAAACTGTTCATAACTTTATATCATCTACAAAACGTTTTGACACCTAGCTAACGCTGTCGAAGTATGGCCTCCGTTTTAAAACGAAGATTATTTTATTTTGATTAACGATAAACACCCTCATCCCCTCTCAACTACTTTCATTTGTCATTATCAATAAGATTTTATTCACCAATGAATTTGTTCGGCCCTATTCCCTTTCCTTTTGTAAATATGTTTGTCACTTCCTGTTTTGTTTCCAATGTACATTTCGCTGCTTTCAACTCCTATATTATGTAAATTATACTTTTATCATCTGTAAATATTCGTATTGGTAACAGATTTATATAAGCTTCGGCTTGTTCCTGAAACCAACATTAATCTATAGCATATGTATGATTTTGTAAATTATCAATAAATATTGTTTAAACAAAAAACTGGGTATTATGAAAGATGAATATATCTTATGAAGCGTTTTTCTTGACAAGCGATGTTTGAAGTATCTAAAACAATTAATCATTTTGCTTGATTTGCAAAGAATTAGGTCAATGTGTGATTTCCATTTACAGTTACTTTGGAGTATGACACCCAAATGTTTATGAGATGGACTTTCTGATATTATATTATCATTGAAGTTAAGCTGAAATTGAGGTGGTTCCTGTTTCCTGGAGAATGTTAGGGATTCAGTTTTGATTGGGTTGAAGTCAACTTTCCATGTACAGAACCATTTATGAATTTTTTCAGGGTCATCGTTCAGAATGCGTGAAGCTTCTAATGGGTTGTCTATGACCAGGAAAAGGGAAAAGTGTCGTCCGCAAAGAGCCTGGTGTTGGATGTAATACCAGATGTTATGTCATTAATATAGATCAAAAATAACAGGGGACCCAACACTGAACCTTGACACGTTTGGGGGCGGATGTTTCATTATTGATAATTAGTGATTGTTTTCGAAAATGGAGGTAATTTTGAATTAGTTTTAGTGTATCATTTCTAATTCCAGCGCAATGGAGTTTATGAAGGAGACCTACATGCCAAACGCGATCAAAGGCCTTACTTATATCGAAAATTTTGTAGACACTCTACAAGGCACAATTCTCGATTGATTTCGACGAAACTTGTCTTGTTTGTTTGTAATCACCCAAAGATGAACCCTACTGAATATCAGAAAAATCGAAAAATATTTAGTATGAGTTATTGCCCTTGATCGTAAAACGTTCGTAAACACTCTAGAAAGCGCAATTCTTGACGGATTTTGATGAAACTTAGTTTTGTTATCACCCAAGCCTGATTAGATTTATTAGTGTGTGCTTTGCATTTATAATTTGAGTTAATGTAATCTAACTGTTATTTGTTATAATAAGTAGTTTATGTTGTATCTTTTGAGTTGTTAAGTTTTTAACTTAATTTTCTGATCTGTATGGTTAATAATCACTTGATAACGTTACCTGTATGTGTAAAAAAAAGATAAAAAATGTGTCATGAAACGTTATGTTCAATAATAAACAGAAGTCTATATCCATAAAAACTGTTGTTTCTTATTATTTAATTATTCATATTTTGAGCTAGGCCTACTGTACATACACTTTTTATTGGAATTTATATTGTCTGCAAAGTTTGTTTTAAAATGCTGCTTATTGGTGTTCGACGTAAACCAAATTTCATAGCTAAATATTTTTCATAATCTCCAATAATTTGCCGTTTCATATCCAGAAACACATCAGTACCGTTACGCTTCGCAGGACGAAAATTGCTAGCTTGAGAATTTTGATAAAACGCACAATAAAGAATGGTTAAGTTAAATCTATTCCTGTTCTATACGGTGTAATGAATGATAAAGAATTTCATTTGGAAAATTCATAGCATACTAAAGTATGTAACAATCTAACCCCTCGCGATTGGGCGAATTATTATTTTTCTATCTAATTTCAGATTAGAGCAGAAGAAAAATACCCTGATCCGAATTTCTTAATGAAGTGTTTGTTCCATCCTAGGCCTGTATATTTGGAAGAATCAAACCCTCCCTGCCTCGAAATCAAAAACCGTTAAACGAGAAATCGTCAAAATTCAAACTAAACAAGGATCTCATCAATATAAATGATCATACAAAATTTAATTCAAATCATATGAAAACTGTAATCATTATTGTGTTCACCAACAAATTTTGATGCGTTTTTTAAGTCAGGAGCATTCAACCCCTTTGATCTACGACGCAATATAACTTGTATAAATTTTCGTGCAGGCAACATACATTCGGCCACACTATTAAAAGGGCAATAATTTAAGTTTCGTGATAGAAAAATTGTCAAATTATACTTGACCGCGATCGAAACTCGAGATGACATCTTAAAAGAAGTATTGTAATCGGTGCAACAATGTATAGAGCTGCTTTCTGATCCATGTCTCCGCTACGTCGGGACTACTGACGAAATGTGATCAGTTTCAATATCTAAACACGAAGTACAACGAATGACGATTAAAATTAGCCTCGTAAATATTTCAGCTTAAATCAAAAAAATAAATAAAAGAAATTGTTAAAACTATGAAATCAAAAAGTGTAAGAGTGAGGATACGAACAAAACTTTACTTACGTGCTAAATAAATTCGTACACGCTTCACCACTCAAATCAACAATGTATTGAATCCAAATACTTAGGTGACATATGGGTGGCAAGGCGCACCATATGTATAGCCGATTGAAATAAAATCTTATCGATTAAGCACTAAAGAGAGTTTGATAAAACAAAAAAAAAATCGTTCAAGATTTCGCTGGCACACCTACGACATATTTTATTATTATAATTTCAAATTAAAACCATATTTAAATATGTACACTCAACCATGTTGTAGAACCAACAAGGCGTGGATAATCAGAAAGTATCATACACGACATTTCCTATTGTAAACCTTGTCATCAAGACGTATTTTCAGGTGCTTCAATTTTCAGAAAAAAAAGAAAATGACAAATTTCTAGTTGAACGTATTTTTTATCTAGTTCTGGTATCTCTGTAGACTATTTACACACATATTCAAGGCCCAATTCAATCTCTCGAAAATGGTGAACTATGACTTTTATGTTCTGTCGGTTCCAAAAAGCTTACGATAGTAGCTATACCAATCTTAAAACCACTTGCTCAAAACAATCAAACGGCGATCTTATACCCCCATTTCACCAAGGATTGTTTTATTCCAATCCGTAGGATATGTACCAAATTGTCCCCGATTATTTATTTTTTTGACAGGCCCGATTGTCGTCTTGAATCGCCTCAAATCGTCCCCTTTTTGAACCGATTGAATTCCAACATTGCGGAGGGACGGATCACAGAAGTTCCTCGAGCAAAGGCACGGTTGAGACCCGCTTCTCATCGCAAGTGATTGATCTTCCTACGTTGTTCGGCCGAGAGTGGCTACATTTAGGCGTATAGGATGACGAAGGGGGCCACAGGAAACCCAAAGTAAATGATCTTAGGTCGTTGAAATTTGCTTATGAGGCAATTTTATAAAGAAGGTTCTTGCCCCGACAATACCGACCATTTTTTGGTCGATCGTGCGCATTTTTGCGCCAAAAACGTTGGGAACCTTCGAACACTTTCGAGCTCTACCTTATACTTTTAGGGAGCGATCGCCTCAGTCCTCCAAGGTCGGGTATCGAAAAACACAAAATTTAATAAAATTTTGACAAAAACTGTCACCACTATCGCGTAAACAATCCAACAAATTTTGATGCGTTTTACTAAATAAAGGGCATTTACTGAAAATCCGTTGATCGAAAACTCGTCAAATTCAATCTTGACTAAGATCTCATCATTATAAATGATCATACCAAATTGCATTTAAATCGTATTCACAAATAAATTGTGACGCGTCTTTTTCCTAAGTCAAGGTAATAACTAAATGTTCACCGAAAGATCGTCAAATTCGAACTTGTCTAAGATCTCATTAATATAAATGATCACACAAAATTTCATTAAAATCAGATAAAAACTGTTGTCCAATTGTCGACGGACGGACCGATGGACAGGGGCGACGACAATATACGACCGCATTATAATGTGGGCGTATAAAATCAGTGTCTGTTGTCCCGTGGTCATTCACAGAGCCCGGTTCCTAGCCTTGTGCTTAAGACCGATTTCTTGCTTAGATCCAAGTTTGCTTCTCTTTCAAGTAAACTTTGAATATATTGTGTCCCTAGCTTAGTCATAAGAACGTTTTCTTGCTTAGAGGTGAAGTCGACTTAAATCAAGCTTGCTTTGCGTTTTTCTGTTGACTTCGGCTCTAAGATGACTTACAAGTTTTCGGTTCCTAACATACTAAGAAAGATGGCGGACAGACAACGCAGACGGCGAAATTACTTTAATAATCGTCCAGAAAGGAGGGTTCCAGACCGCTCTAATCCATTGGAAATTTATAATAGGGGTCAATGCTATATGAAATTTCGCTTTTTCCCAGAAACTATTTTGTTTATTTGCAATTTAGTTTTCCCTTTCATACAAAGAACACAGAATCAAAGGAAGGCGTTGACAGTTCCTCAATCAGTCTGCTTGGTTTTGCGAATTTTGGCTGGCGGTTCTTTTTATGTATGTATTGGGGACATTGTTAGTGTGTCGAAATCCACCGTTTGTAGAGAGGTAGCTAGAATCATCCCATTACTGGCCAATCTTTCTAATAGATTCATAAAGTTTCCATCTGGGAGAGAGATTATTGATGTCAAGACTGCTTTCCATGATAGAGCAGGTATGTACATTTTATTTTCTGTTTCTGTATCCTATTAAAAAAAATTAAAACTTGTTTAGCGCGTTAGTTACCAAAAAATCATCTTAATATGTACAAAACTCTGTCTACCACGACCACATATTTGGAAATATGATCCAGCAAAAAAGGTTCTCTACTCTTTATACTTTTAGGATTTCCCGATATTCTAGGCTGCATGGAACATTAATCAAAATTGAGGCGCCCACAGTAAGAAGAAGATTTTGTTTGTCGGAAAGGCTTTCAAGCTATAAATGTTAAAGTAAGTTGAAAGTTATTGCTGACTGATGTGACAACAGTATTTTAGTGGGTTGAAATTCATACCCTTTGTCGAATCCTACCCAAATTTTAACAAAATCTTGTGGATAAAAGCCTTTAAGCCAAATTTTGTAAAGATAACTTGCAAGGCAAGGTAATATACGCACACTGGCAGATTCGGTTTTGAATTAAAATATTTGGCAGTACAGTTACAAGATTCAACTTTCACTCATACACTTCTTTTGAACTTTTTGAGGTGACACTGAATTATATTGCTAGCAGGAAAATCCCTAATATTGTAGCTAAGTGGCCTTGTGCAGTTCACGACTCCAGAATTTTTTTTATGACAATGGTATATTGATATTTTCTTATTTCTTTAACCATAGAACAACGTAAATGCTGAATACTAAACTCAATTCATTCGTAAAGTTATTATCTTTCAGTTAATTAAAACGGGTTTTTTCGTCCAATCATCACTGGCTAAATTTTTCATAAATGGCTCAAGCAATTTTTTAGAATTCAAAATCACATGACATTTTGACTGACAGTTTGCGTTAGGATTTGTAACTTTCTCGAATGATGGCAGAACTAAGTAAACCTAACGTCACATTTCAGGAAAATTTTGAAAAAGAAATTCGCTTGCATAAAATATATTCTACGAGTTCAACCTGCAAAGGCATGTCAAATAATTATGGCATGTGCTGTTCTCTACAATGTTGCAAAATATAATGGTGATCCCGATATGGACAACTTGGAAGGAGAGGAGGAAGATGACATTGAAGACGACATTGACAGAAATAATGATGTCGATGCAGGCCAACAACGGCGATTAGGTCAGGCTGTTCGTCAAAGAATGACATATCTGTATTTCAATTAGATACAACTATGATTGCATAAAAGTTAGATGTACCCTTGTGATAAATAACACAAATGTGTTTTCATTAGCATTCATTCTTTAATAGATTTTTCTTTTTTATTTCCAGAATCTCGATTTCTAATTGTAATTTTTTTATTGTCAGTTGTTGAACATTAGCATCCAAATCCAAAAGTCTATCCTGCTTAGTTTCAATTTTTCTTTTCTTGGCAACTGGTTTCATAGGAGTTGTGTCAACTTGTTGCAACAGTATAGTTATGTTTTCAGCAACTGAAATAAATGAGTTATCACTTAGGTCGTGAATTATGCAATAGATTTATCAGATATATGGAGAAGACTATTCCCACAATTCAATGAAAACACGACCTATGGTTAACTGGTTACTAGTTGATTTAATCAAATTTTTTGCATATTATCAATAATAGACAATAATAGGGCAAACCTTCAATTTCCTCCTCAGTACCGGTCTCGATTACTCCAACTATACCATCTATTGCTAGATATGGACTAGCCTATATCTCAAAAATTTTATGTGATGAGCTCAATCTCAAAAATTCAATTTTTCTTGTGGATTGCGATCCCAAATCAATGTGTAATGATAATAGATCTAATACTATAATAGATATAGAATTAAGCATAGGCTATTTATTTTTCTCAATTTGCAAATAAATCAAGCATGATCTAGATTTTGCCCATTCAAATTAGCCTATTACAACGGTATGCTATTTGTCTTCTTATTATGTGTCAACGGTAAAGAGATCTTACAATACATACGATCGAAATGAAACTGAAAATTAGTTAGGCCTACCTATTTAGGTTATGGACCTCCACGTATTCCTTTTAGCTTCCATCGTAACCGAAGAAGAAAATTTGCCTTCGATTAGTTTTGATTCCCATTCACCAGCTCCATCAACATCATACTTTCTTCCTCTGTCCAATTTCTTTCCATTTCTAATCTAGTACAGTGGTGTGTAACCTATTTTCGTGGATATAAGGATTCAACACCGAATTTCGTCAAAGTTAAGAAAAAGAAAAAAAAAATTATGTCTTAGATGTTTCCTCAGATATTCTACAAAAATAATTAATATTTTTTTATTTCGATTTTCTTTATGAATCCTTCACTTTGACCCATATTTCATGAGCAAACAACTCGGCAACGGCGGCAGAATGCGTCACCTATTTTCGTGTACAATGTTTGATCTATAAATAAGTCGAGAAAAACACGTTGTATGGATACCAGGTGGTATAATTAACTTCTCTTAGTATTTATCTTTAATATCAATTCATTATAACTAGTGACAATTCCTTCAAAGAACCACGATTTAAAAAAAAATAGTGACTGACAAAATAAGATACGTAGCGTGATTTATTGCACAAAGTCACTGAAACAACATAAGAATATGGTCCACTTTGTGTTCCATAGAAATTTTCTGCTGACACGGAATCTGCTAGTTGATCACGTGACTTCATTCGTTGGACTACATTCTAGCAGACGACACTTAGAATTCCGATTACCGCTTGGGATTATAAGGAAATTCGGCCGCTAAAAAATGGTATGGTAATAACTGAAATCCGCCATTTTGTATTTGTCAAAGTATACATAAATACATTTTACCTTGCTTGAAACTACTGAATTCATTCTACTAGCTGATATTGTAGAGAAAACCCATGTTTACCAAAACAAGCAAATGCGGAGGTCGCGCAAGGTCGCTCACGTAAATTATTAATCATTTTCGAAAATCCACGAATAATAGGTTTCCACGAAAATAGGTTACACCACTGTACTTTAGCAGGCGATCATTTTACGCTGGGAAAGGGTCAGGTGTTAAAACATTACAGTACGGAATGTGGTTTCTTTCGTAAAAGAGCAGCGTTAGTCTAGATTAACTGGTCTTTTATACCGAAGCAAGCTTAGTGAAGTCGTCTTTCGTAAGCAAATTTTAAAATCAATGCTGGGAACGATGTTTTCCAAGTCGTCTTTAGTAAGACAAGCTTAAGTCGAATACGGCGAATACGGGACTTCGGCTAAGCTCAATGCTAGGAACCGGGCCCAAGAGATACAGACGACGACGAGCTCTAATGGTAATGCAAGGAAGGAGACTTCAAGATAGGAAGTTTATTACAGGATGGAGTGTTTTGCCAAATTTCGATTTTTCGACCTTGTACATTTGTGATTTGGTGGCACAAAACATAGGGAGGAGACAGAACCAATAAAAGGCTCTAACAGTAATTCAGTCTGTTTGCATTGTCTTGAGATTACCGGTCTGTGGTTCATTCTATGCATGTATTGGAGATACAATTATTGTGCAAAAGTCAACTGTGTGCAGAGAGGTGTCAAGAATGATCCCACTACTAGCAAATGCTGCGAACAGATTTGTGAAATTTCCAACAGGCAGGAAAGCGGTTGACACAAAAACTACATTTAAAGCTAAAGCAGGTAAATAAAATATAAGAAAAAAAGGACTGCAACAGTTTTATTGCAACAAATTTCACTGCTAACCAAACTTAATGCTAAAGCACTCGGAATAGATATCATGACATTGTACTTAAATATGCTTGTGTTAAGTGGTGATGAGAACGTAGTCCTATTATTATTCTGTACATTACATTGACTGATTTTACTTCCTATATATATTAGGATGTGTTGATGGTACACTGTTTCAACTGGAAGCATCAAAGAAAGATAAGAGAAGAAGATTATGTCTGCAGAAAGGATTTTCATGTTCAAGTAAGTTTTTTCGCGTAAACTTACACTAGCACATGAGTTGTTTCAAATAAATAGTCTATTTCACATTTGAGATACTGTGAACTACAATGAGAAACTATCTGAGCCTAATAAAAAACATCTCCACAATGTTAAGCTTTTACAAACTCGGTTTAATACCTTGACATTACCTGGCACCTTTCTTGTATCATGATATTGTGAATGTGAATAAACTTATTGACATATCTCCAGGTGTGTTGTGACGCAGACAGAAGAATAACAAACATAGTAGCTAGATAGCCAGTCTCTGTCCATGATTCTAGAATTTTCGGACAAAGTATCTTGTGCAGAGAGTTTGGAAAGGGCAAGTTTTTGCTGCTGTATTAAATCGAATTTCCAATGAGAAAATCAAATATAGAATCGAATTAACTGACTTTTCTGAATGTTTATAGATATGAGGTTTGTTGTGAAATGATAAGTATTTGTATTTCATGACGGATCCAAAATAACTGCAATTTAGATATTTGACAATTGTTACTTTATATTTTAATTTACTTTACAGGAATCCATAATGGTGTTTTGCTTGGAGATTGTGGGTATGGGATAAGGACTTTTCTGATGACTCCTTATAGAAATCCCAATGGACAGGCTAAGATTAGATTTAATGTGGCTCATCGTGCAACAAGAAATACCCATGAACAGACCATAGGAATTCTGAAACGAAACTTTGCATGTATCAAATACATATTGCGGGTGCAACCCCAAAAAGCCTGTCACAAAATAGTAGCCTGTGCTGTTTTGTAAAACATCGGTAAAGATCACGGAGAGCCAGATTTTGATGATGGAGATGATAATAATGAAAATGAAGATCCTACAAATGACGACTAAAATGGGGGTAGGGAAAACCAACAACGTCTCGGTCAAACTGTAAGAGACAGACTTACTGAGCAACATTTTAGTTAGCAATTTGAGTAAAAAAACCAATGAATTGAAATGATCTTTATTAATTTGAAAGAGAGCATGTACTCATACATGAAAATATAAAACCCAAGTACTAACGTTATGAAATGCAAAACAAAACCCTGAATCCAAAATAACATTTTGACAATTTATTGGTAGCATCTATTAAAAATTAAAATGAACTATCGATCCAAACTGCAAAATGAAACTCAAATTCCATAAAAACAAAATATTGGCCATACATGGTAACATCTAATGAACTTTTAACATATGAGGAAATATATCAATCATAAATAAGGAGGCATTTCATAATGATTTAACTTTCACTTTTGTTTAGCATTTCCCTTTTCTTCATTTCCAGTATTTCTATTTGTAGGGTAATTTTTTAACTTTCAGTTCCTGAACAGTTATATCTATTTCTGCCAGTCTTTCCTCTGATCCAACTGTTTTTTAAAACAGGTGTGCCTGGTGGTGGCATTAAGGGTTGCGCAGTTGGAGTTACCGCTGTTTCAACTTGCTGCATTAAATCGAATATATCTCCAGTTACTACAAACGGAAGCATTTGTAATTAATATTATAAATTGTCATCTGTCATGAAAAACATCCACTTACATATATACTAGTATTGTAGTATTGTTCATATTAAATCCTTAAGATTAGGATTTCTTAGAATTAAAAGACAAATTTTGCATGCACAAATGACATAATATCTGAGCAATGAATCCATAATCCCATGATTTTAGCTAAGAATTCTAATCTAATTTTATATATTTAGCCAAATATACAAAAAAAATTACATCTGCCAACAGAAAATCATTTTCAATAATGGCTAAAACCTTGCTGAATGCATTTCCCTTAAAAATAGCTCATAATTATCTAACACATATATCTTACCTTCAAAGGGTTCCTCAGTGCCACCAGATTCCAAACCCCCAATTATTCCTTCAATGGATGGAGCACCACTATTATCATTAAGAAATTGTTCTGCTTCCAATGACAGACAGGTTGATGTTAAGCTAGGCTTTCAATCAAAAACAAAATTGTAATGAGCATACTTGCTTTCATAGCATAACATTTCTACTAGTATATTATCGGGCTTTCATGCCGCTTTTACAATTTATTTCCGTTTATTTTGACACATTAACAGACATTTCAAAATTTTTGTCCTTAAGACATAATATATAATTACCGGATTGTTTTATATTATCGCTTTTTGACATTCATCTCTTGCCTATCTTGATTGGTGTACATGCTGTAAAAACATTTGTGTATGTCAATCTACCAATAAGTTTGAATAATAATGCTACATAAGTTTTAGGTAGCCAAACTGTAAGCTAACAGAAAATAGACATCATAGGCTAAGATACTAACAGTAATAGTTGAAGAGCTGCCACAATTATTGTCTGAACAAAGTAATAAGTTTTTTTTTTCCATCACTTTTAAAAGAATTTGAAGTAGGCCTATCAGCCTCAAAATAGTACTGTTAATCAGAATGTCTTTAACTTTGTTGAAAATATAAACATAAGCACATAATATTAGATTTATTGTAGGCCTTTGTCTATGTAAATAATAACGGCTTCTAAGCCTATCATCCTAAATCTATCTATGTCTATTATAGTTTCCAGTTTGTTTGGAAGTCCTACAGTCAGCACTGTTGCTGTTTCGCCCCCCTCCCCTTCCCGTAGAGCTATCGATTGGAAACTTTGCAGAGAGGTACTTATATTCATATAGAATATGAATCAAATGAAATTCGGTATGTGTATACATATTCATAAAACGAAGATCAAGTTCGAATTTGAGCTGTTTTCGACCTTTAGAAGCAGAGTTATTGCCTTTGCCCCAAAATCTTGAATATGCTATTCCTCTCTTAGTTTTCGATCGATTTTGATGAAACTTAAAATGGATGTTATTGGACCTAAATCGAAAGGTTTGAGAAAGTTTAGTTAACTTCGGATTAAATTTAAGGCTTTTTCAAGATTTAGGCCTCTTACGTCAATTTTGAAGAGTTATCACCCTTTAACCTCTATACAGTAAGTGCTTCTATCAACATCAATTGCTTGTTAACACTCTAAAAACTAGAGTGTTTGAAGGAATCAAATGAAATTCGGTATGGGCATACATATTCATGAAACGAAGGTCCGTCCGTCCGTCCGTCAACATTTGCTTGTAAACGCTCTAATAACTAGATTTTTTGATGGAATCAAATGAAATTCGGTATGTGTATACATATTCATAAAACGAAGATCAAGTTCGAATTTGAGCTATTTTCGACCGTTAGAAGCAGAGTTATTGCCCTTACCCCAAAATCTTGAATATTTACCATCCGCATGCCGTGGGGGGCGTATATGGCTGTGGTCCACTATCTAATTTTTCTTTCTTCTAAACAATCGCAGGTTCGTCAATTTTTGTAGTTAGTAGTGTGGAGCCAATCAACCCCAGCATCTACCTTGTCCACCAGGACATTATCTGGAACCAGTGGGGGTTGAGCCACTGCCGAATTATAGAGCATCGAATACGAGAATTTCAAACTTCTCCTCGCTTGATAATTCTGATTTACTATTCAGAAGATTTTCACTATTCAAAAGAATTTCACTTTCAGGCATTTCAATTGCCAATCTTTTCTAGCTCGAGGGTCACGTTATTGGCACGCAGTAGAGGGACATAACTCTTGCAAATTATTACCAAATTTATTTATTGCACTTGTCTTGTTTCGTTTTATTGATTTATGTATTTTGTTTTACGGTTCTGATCGTTTGTACTTTGTATTTATTTTATTCCAGATTTTACCATAAAACTATAGTTTCGATTTCCTAACAGGTCCAAATTTTACATAATAAAAAAAAAGATGCGGGACAACAGATTAAAATATTTCGTTTCATGTAAAAAAAAATGGCCATTCCGGATTTTATCAGAAACCTTTAGTTCGTTTTAAATGTCGTTTTTGTGCAGTTGGGCACGATGCGGCAAGTTGGGCAATGCGGCAAAACGAACCCATCGCATAAGCTTTGACTGTAAAACTTCAGAATTTTTTTCCTGGTCTGGATTGTTTAATGTGCTGAGAGAATCCAAATGATACCCTATTACTAGAAACATCCATATTCAATAAATGCACATTCTGTCCTCTTTTGGCAGAAACCAACACAATCAGTAAAATAAATTAATAAAGTTAGATGGATAAATCCTTCAAAGACAGTGATCTAACTGGTGATTATGATTTAAGAAATTGTAATAAAATATTCACATTCCAAATTTTTTCATATTTGGGTTTCACAAGTTTATTTTCAAAACTCCATTCACAAACCTCACAATAAGAGGGTGGTCTCAAATTTTGGAACCACCAATATCTATGATTGCCGACAACGAGCTCCGTGTCTTGTTTAAAGCACTATAACCTAGATCTTGGTTATATAAAGAAAACAAATAATCCAACACAATGTCCACACTTGCAGAAAAGGGATCAATTTTTCCCTGATCCGTAAATTTAAACCATTTATCCCAGAAAACCAGATATTGTTTGGTTCTAGACTTTCTCCAAGAATCCCATAAGATATTGACAACTCCTTCAGAAAATCCTCTTTCATTCCAATAATTCCGGATACGGGAAATGCCGCCAACTTCAATTTTTTGGGTTGAGGATGACTGGCCTTGTCCCAAGGTAGATGAAGCCTGGTTTCGCTCTTCTGATTCCTATTGGCCTGTCAATAAGAATATGAATAAGATGAGTGAGCCGTATAGTCCAAATAAGAGCAATAACAATGACAGTGGCCTTGTCCGAAATAATTTTCTGAATACATTTTGCAATAAGACAAAAGGGGGGAAAACAGTAGAAATTTTCTAGGCTCCAGTCCATTGAAAGTGCATCAATATGATATGCTCTCAGATTATATTTCCAAGCAACATATTTTTGAATCTTTTTATTAAGACGTTTCCACCCATTTCTCTTAGGTAACTTACAGCAGTTGTATTATCACATTGTATGAGTATGTTTTATGTTTTAATATTAAAATAAAAGAAATTGCTTTCATTTCAAGGATATGTGCTTTTTTCTCTGCAAGACTCCACCTTCAATTAGCCTGATGATCATTCAATCAAGCAACCCAGCCTTTCGAACGGGCATCAGTTCGAAGGATGAGTTCTGGATTACTTAACCTAAGGAATTTATAAGAACCTTTTATATTAGACAACCACCATTTAATTTTTAAGGTGGGAGGGAATCATTTTTGACTCAAAATTTCCCTTATTAAGTTTAAGTGCTTCAATCGTATTTCTTTCAATATCTTTATAATGCAGTTTACCATACATAACAGCTACGAAAGAAGCTACTATTTTCCCAATGAAGATTGTCAAATATCTGATCTTAATTGACTTTTTATTTAAAATATCTGAACCAATGGCTATGTTTTCAGCTTTCTCATCATCCATGGCAATTGTCATCTCAGCTGAATTAATCCAAAACCCAAGAAATTTAATAATTTGAGTAGGTGTTAGTTGTGATTTAGGCTATCATAATTGATAGTAAAACCTAGGTTAGAAAAAAGTTCTGTAGCTTTATGTACTGCTGATTGACATACCTCTTTATCTGAATGTGATATTAGGCTATCATCAATATAACCTAAGCAATATTGCTCTTTCTCAAAGTTGAAAAGACCACTTTACAAATCTTAGTGAAAATTCGTGGCCTTGATGCCAGTTCATTTGGCAAACAGGTAAATTGATAAAGGGTATTTCCCCATCGGAATTTCAAATATTTCCTATAATGAGGGTCTACATTAACAGAAAAATAAGCTTCAGACAAATCTACTGAAGCCATGAAAGAATTTTGTGTTATTAAAGAAATTGCTGTGTCAATTTTCTCCATTTTGAAATGATTATAAACCACATATCTTATAAATTCAATATCATTCTGTAAGTATTGTTTTTCTTTCACGTAAAAATATTGAAGATACAAAATGATCTTTGGAATCATTCACAATTTCAATAATACCTTTCTTCAATTAAGTATTCACTTGTTCAGTTACTAAGCTATGCTCGTGGGTCGAAAACTGAATAATGTTTGGGTCATGTAGTTGTTTTGGACAACAATAGACCTATTGACTGATGACGTAACATTTCAATAAACAAACTTCGCGCTATAAACTATGGGATTGAATTGGGTAAGGTATAACAAAATGGCCGAACGAATACTGATTTATAGAGAAGAAGACGTTTTGGGAGCCAAATTAAAAGATAAAAACATAGAAAAGAATAATGAAGACGATCTGAGACGATGGATTGCTTGCAGAGGACTATCTTCCACCAAGACTGAGACTCATGAGGCGCTTGTGCTATAAAGCTATATTTATATCACTGAATTGAATCAGAATCACGTTACATTACAAACTTACACTGCAGTACTGCAGCGGTAGGTTCGTTTTGCCTCATTGCCCAACTTGCTGCATCGTGCCCAACTGCACAAAAACGACTTGTAAAACGAAACTAAAGGTTTCTGATAAAATTCGGAATGACCATTTGTTTCACATGAAACGAAATATTTTAATCTGTTGACCCGCATCGATTTTCTTTTTTATTTATAATTTGGACCTGTTAGGGAAATCGAAAATATAGTTTGATGAAAATCGGATAGTTAATAAGAAAGTTGGCAATGCGCATGCGCACTACGCAAATTCGATATTTCCATCAAATTTAGAATTTGATTATACACATACATACCAAGTTTGATGAAAATCGGATAGTAACTAAGAAAGTTAGCAATGCGCATGCGCACTACGCAAATTCGATAATTCCATCAAATTTAGAATTTAATTATACACATACATACCAAGTTTGATGAAAATTGGATAAGAAATGAGAAAGTTGGTAAATTAAGTGGAGGTATACCTTCAATATGCTGCCGTGAGCTTAAACTAAAATATGACATGATTCAATCCACCTGAAAGCTTAATTTTATACCATAACTGGACAAAAATCATTTTTAAGGAATATAAAAGGGAGGGTGTCTTTAAAACAACTTAAAATTTGATT